TTTAGCAACGCCACTTGAGTTATAAAATATAAAATTTAATTTTAAATTAACTCGCGGAATTTTCAAGTTGATTAATTTACGTCACCAATTACGATTGCTGTATGTGATACTATCAAAACAAAGTCATTTTTTATTGTTTATTTGAAAATAACACAAATATAACTTTTAAACAAAATGATTTGGCAGCATATTATAGAAGTATAATGTTAAAACTGTAAAAGATTAAAAAGATTAAGCATACCATTTCTTCAGCTTGATTATCTATTTGAATTATGGTAATAATGAAAAAGAGATTTAAGTTTTTTCCTGGAATCGAAGCTGAATACAAATGTACTCATTACCTAAAAGAAATATTATATACAAAGTTTTCAGAAAGAGAATTTTGATAAACAAATATAACAAGAAATAGATAGATCAATTTATATACAACGAATAAGAAATCATCTAAATTAAACAAATTTTAGAGCACGTCGAGGTATTTTTGATATATAACCTAATCTTCATCTTTCTTGATTGCATTTGCTAAGTACACAGAAAAAATGCATCCCAGAAATTCAACTAGAGCAATGCCAACAACAATACAACCAATGACAGCATTTGAGTCTTTAATTTTTTGTAGCAATGTCGGAAAGCAGCCTTCTTTCCAAGCCTCTGACATCGGGCATTTATCGGGACATATGTGTCGTCTTGGGCACATCTTTTTTTTACAGCAGCTTCTTGGAATTTTAAGCTTTAAGTTTTCGTAATCCTCTGCGCTATCAACGCCACAACACTCCCAGGTTGATTGCATTTCATTCCATATCCTTACAGCCTCTTTCCTTTGCTGGCTCAAGCTTGTATTCATGCTTTCCTTAAGAAATTCTTGAACCTGTCCCCTGTATATGAATGCAAAAACTGCACCAGAAAGTTCAATAACAATTATGGCAATTATGAGTAGTGCAAAGGTTAACACCATGTAATAATTATATTTAAGAGCACCACAACATCCAAAGAATGCTACCACGAAAATTATACATCCTACAACTATACAAATGATAGGCGCCGTGACAAATTTGCTGTTCAAGAATTCTGTGTAATCCTTTTTGGTTGAAACAACACCAACTACTACCAGTACAAGTCCGCATATCACGAACACTAAATTAAAAACGAACAGTAAATATCTGATGCATGCTGTAGTAGCTCTCATTTTAGAAGTTTGAATTTTATAATAAATAAAAAGACTTATACTGAGAAGAACACACAGGGTTAGGCAGGTCGGTTTCAATTTTTAGAACATAACATTAAGTCTAATGGTGACCACATTTTTTTTTTGTCTCCTGCTTTTGCCAGCTCTTTGATACATTTAAATGAAAAAGAAGAAAAAAAAACTTACTTTAAAATTTGTAGTTTCTCCAAACTCCTTGCAAAACAGATTTGTTGGAGATCTCTACAAATAATTTAAACTCTCTTGTCAGTCACGTGTTCATAAAATCTACCAATCAATCGTAATTGATTATTAGACCCGAAAGTTGAAGTATTTTGAGACACGTGACTTCAAATAAGAAAGTCACTTATAAAGTTTGCAGTTGGGAAAAAGGAAAATGAGCATAAGTGGTAAATTTCATTATCCAAGATCAAATTAATAACAATAAGAGCAAAATATTAACTGTATAAATGATTTTGAATGCCTGCCAATTTTGGCTCCTTCCAAAAATGATTTTCCCAAGTGGTAGTGAAATGAGAATTAACCCTTTGCACACCTATGTTTCCACTGAGGCACCATCAACAGTCACCACTTTAAAATTGAGATACTTTACATCTTATTAATTAGTAACCACATTATCCTAAAAATTTTAAAATATTATAATAATACTATATTGTGTATTTTGAATGCTGTACAGTTGATATTAGATCAATGAGCATTTTAAAGTACTCGGAGTGTAAAGGGTTAAAATATGAAATGCAAGCAAAAATTTATATATTTAACCAGAGCTTGAAAGCACCATTCAATTTAGCAATCATTTTTATGTATATTTAATTAGTTCTCATATAGTGGTAGTTTAAGTTAAATCATATACTAAATTAAATTTATAAATCATATGCTTTGCTTACACTTTAAAAATAAAAATCATCCAGAAGTTCAGGAGAAATTGCAGTTATGTTTTCAGAATGGGATATGATATAATTGTTCATGTATTCATTTGTCAATAAATAAATAACAAATATATAAATGCCTCTTCACACTTTAATTGGCCCCATCTGGACTGGATTAATCGTAAGTCACTCTTCACAGCAGATCATCAAAAGCAAGTATCACTGGCAGTGTACAGTGGGCAGGTGGTTGACCACTTTGATCAGCTTGCGAAAAAACCGAGAATGTGCGGTACTAGTTCTCGCTAAACTATTATAAAGTAAAGTGCTCTCGACTTCGCCTCGCAAGTCGTCGGGCTATCGAAGCAGGGGTGCCATCCTCTCTGTAGAAGATCAAAATTGTGATGGTGTGTCTTCGAATCATCTTCAGGGGCTCCACTATGAGCGACATGGAACGGAATAGAGATTCTTGGCAGGGAAGTAAAACTGGAAAAGTTTGGTTTGGCTAAGGGGGTGGCTAAAATGTAACCAATCACACAATTTACTTGGGATTATCTTTGATCAGTCTGAAAAGGGACCGAGGGTGAGGGGTATCGGAACTCGTTAAACTGTTCTACCATCAAGTGCTCGATTTCGAGAGCAGATCATCGTCCTACCAGAACGGAAAAGCCCTCAACTATGCAGAGGATTAAAATTGTGATGACAAGCTCATATTATGTCTCAAATTATTCTTTGGCATGTCGTGTTTAAGCATGTTTCAAAGATGGACGCCAATAGCCCATTGATTGTGCAGGTCTAACGCAACGTAAATAAAGTGCTACTACTACCCACTTTAAATATAGTAGTTTAAAGTGAAGGGTTTTCAGTTAATTGCTTTATAAAACTTTTCAAGAAAAAAAATCGTCATGCCGGATACCTTTTTTCTAGGGTATTCTGTAACCTCTGCCTTTAATATACATTTGTGAAAGATGATGTCAAAAAGAAGCGAAAATTACTATTTAAGCAAGAAGCTACTAAGCTATCGAAGTTTGTCGAAATATTAGTAAGGAAGCTTGGATACGAATTATTAAAACCAGCTTGTTTACCTGATAAAGCTTGAAGGGGTTTCTAATAATCGCCTTTCTTCTCTATCTTTTGTATCCTCCGGCAATCAAATAGCTTTCGATGATTTTAGTCCTCTCTTCCTCAGTAGTGATTCGTTAGATTTTTATTGTTTTTTCTTCTTCCTAAATATAAATTAACGGTTTTCATTGGGAAAACATTTTTATTTCGATTATTTTCGCTAGTATAATAAAACTCCATGTTAAAAGTGGTTGTTTTGGAATACGAAATAAATTTCTGAAATAATCTAAAATATTATTTCCACAATACTATATTAGATACTCATATGTTAGGTACCTTTCAACACAGAACTAATTACCAATTAACGCACAGAGAGTCGCGTTTGAAATAAAAATAATGTTAAAGAAAAGAAAAAGAAAGGAAGAAAGAAATCTACTTCCGCAATTACTTAAGGCTGTTTTTCGAACTTTTTATAACTACTGTGAATTTGCAACTGTTACTTATGATTGTTAGATCAAGTTTAGCCTATCTAAAGCCAGCGCTATCTACGCTTATTTTGAAAATGGCGCAAAACGTCAATGTGGAGAAAAGCCACAGTTTTGTAAAAATGAAAATTGTTTGTGGTCTAATTTTTTAATATTTAAGAACTTACTACAATGCTGTATTACCTGGGCTCATAAAACTTTGCAAAAACTGAGAATACGGCAGTGATTTTGATAATTTTCATCTAGAAGGAAAAACGTCACCAATTTGGAAATTTAAAAAAAAAGTTTAATAGCTTTTTGAGTTAATTTTCCATTCTAAAGCCGAAATAATTCTTTACGACAAGATGATAAAAATAGTTAAAGATCATCGCATTGCTTCGAGTGTAAAAGGCACTTTTCCTTGGCGGCAGAGACAGACAATTTTACTTTCCTTGGCGACAGAGCTTCGAAGAACAGTGTTAAGCATCAGTAGCATCAATAATAACTTGGTATTTTTTCATGGCTCCCAGAACAGAAAAGTATAAGCCTATCTGTTAAAAAAAAAGGAAAAGAAAAAAGAACGGCAATAGTAACCTAAAGATTTGTTTATTGCGTTTTTTATTAACGGTCATCTGTGTTTAGTGTCACAACCCTCACTAATACAAAAAGTAAAATGGCTGACTGGTCAGGGTGTCAGAGCCTGAAGCCAATGGTTGCGGGTTCGAATCGCTCTCGGGGCATGCATCTTTCTCTCTTTGTGTTTGTCCAGTGATGTATGGAAGTGGCCCAACCATAGAGCTGTAATGTATAAGTAGAACACGCTCATCAAGATTACTTTGCCTTCAGAATGAAATCACGTGACTGGAGGACAAATCGAGAGAGACATTTTCTACCTTTCATTTCTTCTTATTTTAATTAAAGAGAATCAATGCGGAAATTGTAAAGTCAAAAATCTTAAAATATGGTGGTTTACTCTGTGGCATTTGGTCATAATGAGTTTGTTAAAAAAGGACTTTATACAATTCATAGGTTAGTTAATTTATCACCTTCTGGAAATATAATTGTTTTTTTACTATATAAATAAATTTTCTGTATATTCTTTTCTTTAAAACATCATATTAATCCCGATTATTCAATTTCAATGATTATATAAAATTATTAATTGCTAATACATATTTTTTATTTTTTAAATTTTAGTTCCAAAAATGTAGTAGGTGAAGTTCTGGCGATATTGCTGTGGTTTTCCTTCTTCGTTTACTTACGTTTTATTTTTTACTTTCTAATGTTTTTGAAAGAAAAAACTGTTGTGTATATATGTATTTTTTTATTTCAGTAACCTGCTTTGGATTAGTTTTGTTCGTAACACACATTGCTGCGACAAAAGAGGGTTACGAAATATTAATACATATAGATTCGATAAATAGATTGTTAGATTTTGTAACACTTAATTATTAGCTCTTTAATAAAATCACGTCTTTTTCAATTGTAATCATCTGATCTTTTTTTAATTTCAATAATACTTGAAAAAGAAATCAAGAATACTTTCAGAGGTATTAAAACTTTTTTTACCTTATCATAACAGGTGAAAGGTAAAATCGGCAACAGGTGAAACGTAAAACAGGTGAAAGGTAAAACAAACAGGTAAAATCGGCAATCACAACTCAAAAATGACAAATAATATTAAGAAATGATGGAAGATTATTAAAAGCACAAATCTTGCTGTTTTATTTTCCTTCATTCACAATGAAATCATTCATTCACAATGCGTGAATATTTCATGCAGTGTTTGAACATGTACATAAATATCCTATTATTTTCGTATAAAATTCCTATTATTTTCCTCTAAAATTCCTATTATTTCTGCAAATTATAAATCCCTTTAAATAATTATTCTCTGTAAAACTAATCTGTGTTTATCTGTAACTACAATGAATGATAAAAATAATAAAAGTGTGCTTTAAGAAGGTGTGTTCTTTTTTCAAAACACACGTGTGAATAGTATATGAATAGCAAGAATAATTAATAAAAATGAACAAACTTTAAAAATAAAAACTCCGAGAATCGTATTATGTTTTTTTTTTTAAATATCACAAACATTACTAAAGGAAATTTTATTAAAAAAATTTTTTAAGAAAGGGAATGGTATAAAATAATTTGAAAGTAGTTTTTTGACAATTTTAAAAGTTTGAAGTTTAAAGGAAAAAAATAACAATTGCTCTGCTAGTGAATATGTGAAAAATTTTAAACCATTTTTAAAACTAAGTGGTTACCATTTTTAAAGCATAAGTGGTTATCACAACGATTTTACCGCTTCAATAACCATTCAATTTTTTTTAATTTTGTAAAAATGTAAACAATTTTGTGCAATTTATACATAATAAAAAAATGGAATTTTAAAACAAATTTTAATCTCGCAAAGCCTTGTTGAAAAGTGATCCAGTTTTTTACCGTAAGCTAATCTTAACGTTCCTGACGCTTTTAACTTCTCTTTAATACCTGTATAAGTTCAAAAACACGAATCCATATGAAAAGAAAACTCATCTATCTCTCATCATCATCTGTTATACAAAGCTCTTTTCTCCCCGAAAATCGTCGAAAGAAGTACGCGACAGAGGGGACTCGGATGTTTGGAACGAAAAGAAATGGGACATACAACATTACACCTGTTCTACTTCTGTTTCTGCTCTGAGGGCCCACCCTATGAACAGAGAGTGATAGTGATTTGGTATAATTTAAAATGAATAAACTTTTAGTCATTTATTAGATAAGTCAATTATAAAAAAACTATAAAAGTCTAATGTTAAAATTATAAATGAGGCAAATACATTTTATTTATTATCATAAAATAAGGAAAAGCTTGAAATTTTCTCTAGAAACGTTGAATTAAAAAAATATATAGTGTTTCAGAAGTTTTACATACATTAAATTTCTGAAAGGAATTTTAAGTCAATATGAATAACGTCAAATGAGTCAAAATGAATTAATGCTCATAATGGAACATCTCAATCGAACAGACTGAGGATTTCGTTGAATTTGATGAACTTTTCAATGCTCAATTTATCGTCTTTCATCGTCTTTCTTTATTGCATGCGCTAAGCACCAAGCAAACATGCAGCCAACTAGCTCAACTACAGCAATTCCAATAGCAACACCACCAACGATTTCAATACTCTCTTTGATTTTGTAAATCATTCTTGGGTAGCAGCCTTGTTTCCAAGCATCTGTTTCAGGGCAATCTTCATCAGGACACATTTCTATTCTGATACATCCTTCCTCAGTAAACTTGCAACAGCTTCTTGGAATTTTAATGTTTAGTGCAGCATAATCTTTTGCGCCATCAATACCACAGCATAGCAAATTACTTTGCACAAAATGCCAAATTTTTATGGAATCTTTTCTTTGTTGGGCCAGGCTTTCATTCATACTTTGTTTGACAAAATCTTCAACTTCTCCTTTGTGCAGATAGGCCGTTATTCCACCAGCAACCTCAATTACCACAATGGCAACTATGAGCAGGCCATAAATCGAAATCATAAAATGACTGTATTTTAGAGCGCCACAGCATCCAAAGAATGCTACTACAAAAATAACACATCCTACAGCTATAATAATATAAGGCACCGATATATATTTGTTATTCAAGAAATGTGTCATATCCTTTGTGGTTCCAACAGCTCCAACTGCGATCAATGCAAGTCCACATATCACAAATAAAAAATTAAAAATGAAAAGTATATATCTGATAACTCTCTTACTATATCGCATTTTGGCAGATTAAGTAAAGCAGAAATGCAAACAAAATGAAAAGTTTTCAAATATTCGGGTGGAAGAATGAAGTTTTTATGGCGAGAGAAAGGCACAAATTAATGCAATTCGGTTATTTTTAGAACATGACGTATATGTGAAATACAAGTTTTCCTTCTTCCTTTACTGCTTTTGCGTAGCACGCAATATTAATATTTTGCTCAAAAAAGTAGCAAAAAAGAAAAAAAAAAGTGGAAAATGAAATTTTATAAATAAAATAATAATTAAACAAAATCAGTAATTTATTTTTTAACACATTATTAATTATTTATTTTAATTAGATATTTATGCAGTTTTTGTTTTGTTTACGTTAGTATAAGGCTAAACTAGATCAGTAATTAAACTGTTATATACAATCACATTCAGGCTTGAAAAGTAATACAAGCCTGCCTAAGAGAGAAGCTCAAACCACTATTTTTAAAACTTATTTGTATTCAAATACAATAAACTCATTCATTTCGGAAATAAAGATCAATGTGCCTGAATGCGACAATCATCAGTTTCTTAAGAATCTTAATTCAAGAATCATCTGTAAATGAAAGAAAATAGGAAAATTTCGAATACGAATAAGATAAATATGAATCTTGGAATAAGAAAAATTTCGTATTTCCGGAGCATATTTCGGTTAATTTCACCCCATTTAAAACATTTTTAGACGGGTAATTTTTTGTTGTAATTTTTTTTTCTCGAACCTCAACCAAAATGCCCTAAATGCGACGTTTCTTCCACAAATCCAGGATACTATTCCCGATTACATATATACTATCCCGATTATATATTCCCGTGCCTGATCCAACTTCATTCATAGTTCAGCCTTCAGCATCTTTTTAATCTTCCACAAAACAAATAAAAAATAATAATAATTAAAAAAAAACGGGGAAAGACTACTTGTATTAGGTTTAAAGAAATTGTGAAATAACAGTCGCATTTAGAGTTCTTAAATGCGACGCTGTTTTCTGAAATCTTTTCGAATTGGGCGTCGATTACAGCAGTCGACAACATCTGTGACTCTCTACGCATAATTAGTACTATGTTTTAAATCATTTATAATCACAATTACAAGTAACCATGATCGCTGATTACATGTTATAATTCAATGCAACACGTGAACATGATTACAGCTAATCAAAAGGTATGATCACGTTATCGGGCATACATGTAATCATGATACAAGCAATCGAAATTTACGATCATCAATAATTACGATTAGTTGTAATTAGAAACTAACGAGGTACTTACTCTTACCCCGTCGGCCATTTTCACCGACACTGAGCCTAAGTCATTTTGGTATCTTCCAAATTTATTTTGAATTAATAATTGATTATAAATAGACAAATATATATATATATATATATATAATTTATTTGCATGCAAAAAAGGGGAAAATATTTAAATTTGAACAACATCAAAATTTATTTTCATATTTGACGAAAATAGTTAACGGAATAATACGTAAGTACCATTAACGATAACAGTTAATACATTACCACCATCACCCAAACTAGTGGTTACAAGTAATTATAATACGCCAGTGCGATAGGACATTGCGGTAGGAAATAATTTTTAAAACTTAAAAAGTACCCATATACAGTAGTTATTACAACGTTTTTATTGTTTTAACCTTTAGCAGAACAGCAAATTTTAGTCAAGCAACGCATTAGCAACTGCGACCCTAGACCGTATATTGTTATTGAAGAGGCATACTTTGTTTGTTACTTAAAGAATAATGTTTGATAAAAATCGGAGAACATTTAGATACAAAAAGCATTTCATTTCAAGTGTTTAGTAGCATTTTTTGATTAAGTGTTGCCAGACAGGCAACACTGCGCCGAAAAGGATTACAACCATTCAAAAATTAAATTTCTTTCTTTTCTCTCCATAAAAATGTAAACAATTTTGTATAATTCACACATAATAAAAATTGAATTCTTAAATAAATTTTAAACTGCAAAATCTTGTCGAAACATTATCATATATTTTACTGTTCTGATAAACTTAACGTGCCTGATGCTTTTAACTTTCTTCTTTTGCCTGTATGAATACAAAACACGAATCTATCAGAAATGAGAACTCATCTCAACTGTCATACGAAGTCCTTTTCATACCGCCAAAAATCGCCGAAAAAGAGAAAGTACGTGACAAAGTTAACTCCGATGTTTAGGACGAAGAGAAATGTGAAACATAACAGCCAGCTTGGTCAACTTCTATTCCAAGTATATGGGCCACCCTATGAACGGAGTGTGATTGTGATTATTTAAGATGATATAAAAAAGAAAAATTTTAATTATTTATTAGAAAATAAGTCAAGTATTACTATTTTCTTTAAAAAAATTTAAACTATAAAAGTGTAATGTTTAAATAATAAAGATTAGGTAAGTCTATATTATCTATTAACATAAATTAAGAACAGCACTAAGTTGAAAATTTTTCACAGAAAATTTGTTGAATAAAATATCGCCCAGTATTTCAAAAGTCTAACATACATAAAATTTCATTAATGGAATTTTGAGTCAAAAAGAATTAATGTACTCAGAATGGAACATCGCTGTCGAACACACTGAAGATAACATTGGATTTGGTGAGCTTTTCAATGTACAGTTTATCGTCTTTCATCTTCTTTCTTGATTGCATGCGCTAAGCACCAAGCAAACATACATCCCAGTAGCTCAACTACAGCAATTCCAATAGCAACTCCACCAATAACTTCAATACTATCTTTAATTTTCTCAATCATTTTAGGGAAGCACCCTTCTTTCCAAGCATCTGTTTCAGGGCAATCCTCAAGTGGACATATTTCTATCCTAATACATCCTTCCTCACTAAACTCGCAACAGCTTCTTGGAATTTTAATCTTATGAGCAACATAATCTTTTGGGCCATTAACACCACAGCATTGCAATTTCGTTTGCACTTTATGCCAAATTTTCACTGAATCTTTCCTTTGTTGAGCCAAGCTTTCATTCATGGTTTGTTTGACAAAATCTTTAACTTCAGTTTTGTACAAATAGGCTGCAATTCCACCAGCAATCTCAACAACGACTATGATAACTATGAGCAGGCCATATAACGAAATCAGAAAATGACTATATCTCAGTGCACCACAGCATCCAATGAATGCTACAACAAAGATAACACATCCTATTCCTATAATAACGTAAGGCACCGTTATATATTTGTTATTTAAGAAATGTGTCATATCCTTGGTGGTTCCAAAAGCTCCAACTGCGATCAATGCAAGTCCACAAATCACAAATATTGAATTAAATAATAACAGTAAATATCTGACAAGTCTCTTACTATATCGCATTTTGGCAGATTAATCAAAGCAGTAATGTAAATAAAACGAAGAGTATTGAAAAACTTAGGTAGAAGAATGTAGTTGTTATGGTGAAAAAAACGCACAGATTGAAGCAAGTCGGTGATAATTTATAGAACATGACGTAGATGTTAAATACTAAGTTATCGCTTTTGTTTAATTGCTTCTGCGTATCTCCCAAAATCACCATTTTGGTTAACAAAAAAGTAATGAAAAAAAAGGAAAAAATTATATGAATAGAAAAATAATTAAACAAATTCATTTTTATATTTTTACACAGTATTAATTCATTATTCATTTTTTATATATATTTTTTATAGGTTTTTCTTTTTGTTTATTTTAGTATAAGGCTAAGCTAGATCAGTAACTAAACTGTTCTGCACAATCAAGTTTAGCCTTGGATAGCGATACAAGCTCGTGGGAGAAGCTCAAAAAACAATTTTTTGTAAATTTATTTGTAAATAAATAAAATAAGGGAAAAAAACCACAAGAAAAAGCTGGAAAAGACAACTTGTATTAGGTTTAGAGGACTTGTAAAATTGTTGTCACATTTGGAGCCTGATTTTTCGAGTGACCCGAATTGCGACATTTTGAAGTTCATAAGTGTGAAGTATTTTTTGCTGTGTTCTTAGAGTTGGGCGTCCATTACAGCAGTCGATAACATCTGTAATTATTTATTTATAATAACTACTGTGCAATAAATCATTTTTAATTGCTATTGCTAGCATTTATTATTATAAGTAAACATGACATCTGATTACATGTAGTGATAATCCAATGAAACAGTGATGATTCAGTTGTAATTATAGACTAACGATCACAAATAATCTTGAATGCACCACTCGCACTCAGCAGCGAAAATCATGATTCCGTGACAGGTATGTACAGTCCGCANAAAAAAAAAAAAAAAAAAAAAAACGTATTACTTGAATAACTTTCGTTCTAATAATTGGATTTTCCCGTACTAAGTGTCAATCTGTATGGTTTCTAGGAGTGACCTCAAATATGCTAGTTATTTAGTGTTCTGCTAAATATTAATTAAGTTACGAAATCGGAACCAAAAACATGTTTTCTTTGAATAAACATAAGTTTTGTTTTACATATCTGGATTTTTTACCTTCAAAATATAGGGAGTAGCCGCAATTTGGAAATTGTGGCCCAAATAGTTAAGTCAGGAGAGCGGATGAAAGTTTGGTCCGCTTAATGTTAATTTCACTTATTGTGTTTTTAGTCACATTTCGTTTAACTAGAAGAGCAATTAAAAAACTTTCACCCACTTTTAAAAGCCGTTTACCCAAAGATAATTTCATGCAAACAATAATTTTTATAATCATTTATTATTTTTTAATTTAATGTGAATGAAAAAACTTTGAATTAGGAGGTATTTTCTTATTCCCTATGAATGTATATATTTTTCTATTGAAAAGTTTCATCTGTTTTAATTTAACAGAAGTCGAAAAAATTAAACTTACTTTTAAAAAAGAATAATTTGGTGAGAATGAAGAAATATTTAAATGGGGCGATTAATATTTTAATGTGGTAAATTTACGATATATATATATATATANTTATTCGACGAATGCTACGTTTTACAAAAGCATGTTTCTGATAGAATGTGATTATACATCAGCTTTTTGTTAATTTTATTTCATATTTTTTCTTTCAAAAATTGATGTAACTTTAATAATATGCATAAGTTTGCATATATTTGGAATAATATGTTTGTCAATTTTTTCAATATGCATTTTATAATTATTAAAATAAATTAATTAATATAAATACGCAGCCAACATTTTTACGCTTCTTAAAATTTTTTATCATGCTATATATTGTCTTAATCTTAAAATAATTTTTTCAATTATCAGGTCACGCATGTTTTGCACAACAATTTTACCAACTATTTAATTATATTTTAATAAATCTAAAAATCTTATTCTTTACGCTACCACGAAGATTATTTTTCAATAATATACTAATTAATTTTTTAGTAGTTTAATTTAGGTGTCTCCTTGAAGCAAAAATTCGTTTTCAATGAAAGAAGGCTAAGAATTATTGCCAGTCAACTGAGAATTCTGAAATTGAAGGAAGAAAATTAAAAGAATTATTGCCTTTCCAGCTAGCTAAAAACATTCTACTGCTTTAAAATTATTCGATGCAAAACAGCTGACTATTTACTAAACAGACTTTCTTCTTGAAGAAAAATTATTGATTGTTTTTTTATTATTTCGTATTTATTTGAGTAATGAAAAGTAAATACATATATTATACATATTGCATTGTTTTTTAAACCAACAAAAAATTAAGAACATTAAATTTTATTTCAACGTTTAAACTTATTCTCACGCACTAACTTTAGGGAAGTCACCCATTTAAAAAAGGTAATGTTGAAAAAATTTGCTTAAAAAAGTTGTTAATATTATTTTTGAACTTTAGCACAGTTCCCAAAATATTGCTATATCAGGTTTCTCGATATGCCTTATTTTGTTAAACAGCAAATACTAAAAATCGAAAATTGTAAAAAGATTCCAAAACAGTGCTATTTTTAGAATAATCATCTTAAAAATTGCTCTTTTTCTAACTTAAAGTTTTTCTTATTACTAAATAAGAATTTTTTGGATAAAAAATTATTTTATAGTTGTAATTAGTATGTTCAGCAAAAAGTTTTAATATACTTCTTTTTGAGAAATTATAAATAGAAATTGTGAAATGTGTAGAAATTATAAATAAAATATTTCGCCGTAAAAATAGAAGAACGTTAATGTTTCATTCAATGCAAATAGCGCAGAAAATTATTTTCCGTCAAGTGCAAAAATCGGAAGCTATATACTTTCTTTGTATAAAAAAAGTACTATTGTATTAAGTACTATATTTAATTGTACGTAATTAAAATTATAATTTCAAGGGTAAATAAAAGTCTGTTATTTCTTAAAAAAAATCACTGAAAGTACAATGCAATTGGCAACTACAGGCTTTGTGTAAAAAAGTTCTATTGCATTAAGTAGAATGTTCAATTTTTTCTAAATATGATTAATAAATTCAAGGGCAAATAAATGACTGCAATTTCTTAAAAAAAATCACTGAAAGTACAATGCAATTGGCAACTATATGCTTTGTATAAAAAAGTTCTATTGTATTAAGTAGAATGTTCATTTTTTTTCTAAATATGATTAATAATTTCAAGGACAAATAAATGACTGCAATTTCTTAAAAAAATCACTGAAAGCAAATCACTGAAAGCACACAATGCAAGAGGTAATCAGGTTACTGTCATTTTAGCCTTCACTTAATGTACTTAGTACGTAAAAATAAAAAACTTGTCTAGATATGTTAGGAATTTATCAAACTAATAATGAAAATATAACTCGGAATCCATCACTTTTATAAGAAAGCAATTTAAAAATCATTTGAAAAAACAAAAGTGTATCAAAAATGATATTCTGTAATATCAAAGTCTAAATTTAAAATTGACGAATTTCGAGAGGATTATGAGCTGTTTTGTAGTTTAAGCATCTATATCTATAATAATAATATCGCAATAAATGAAATGAAGAAACACATAGAAAAAACACCCATAAAAACTAAAGTCACATAAATAAACTATTTGAAGAATATCTTTCGTGATGAAAATCTTGAGAGAAGTTACCTTTTAAGATATTTTTTTAAAATTCAAATTAATTAAAATCAAATTAATTAAATTAAATTTTAAAAAAATTATTTAATGAAAATAATTAAATTAATTAAAAATTATTAACTACTTACTACGCCCTTTCAAAGGGCGTAGTAAGTAGATCTGAAAATTTAAATTTTCACTTTTCAAATTAAAATTCTCACTTTTTCTTTACATCTTGAATCGAGCCGCGGTGGCTCAGGGGATAGAGAACTCGCCTCCCAATGGGATGAACCGGGTTCGAATAACAGCAATGTGAGGTTGGTTCGAATTCCGCACCCGGCTCGCACCGACCACAGTGCTGACGTAAAATATCCTCAGTAGTAGATAGATCATTGGTTAGAGTCCCCTTGCAGTCGGAGTTACCGTGGGAGGTTTTCGTGGTTTTCCACTCCATGTAACCTAGCCGTGAGATGAGTTCGTGAATTTTCTCTTCATAAAACTCAAATGCACGTTAGTTCTATCAAAAAGTCCTCCACGAAGGCAAAATTCTCCCAATACTTGATCCAGGAGTTCCCTTGTCTTCTGGATTGGGTTCAAAATTACAAAGCTACAGAGTTGAACATTGGTAGTCATAAACTAAAAATTCGGTCAACTGTTCCACGACGGTTAGAAAATCTTGAATCCGTTGCTTGAGTTGTACCTCAAATCTTTATTGGGTTGTAGGATTGGGTACTAGGTGCGCGGGACCACACGATGGTTCTTGGGTGGCATCAGTGTGGTTTCCGTGTCCGAGGGGCCTGGGTCCTTTGGAATGGTGGGGGTGCTTTTTACGCAGTGGCCGTGAAAAGCCACACTGACACACATACTGACTTTAAAGAAACACATACTGATGATACTGACATAATGAAAACATACTGACTTCAAAGAACCTTTTTTATATATATTTGGGGCTGCAAAATAAATTTAAACATTACAACTTTAAAATATGTGAATTGTTAAAGCTGTTCCCTTCTATATGAACCTTTCCATCTCAAATTGATGGATTCTGAAAAGGATCAAAATTTTGAATAGAGATATTTTAATGAAATTTTTTTTCCCTCAGTCTTTCTGAATTGATGTATTATTACACATAAAATGATTATATTACACATTAACCGATTTTTTAAAATTTTTTTTAACAACTTAAGCTCTGTTAAAGTACGTTTAAATTAAATTGATGACTAAGTGCCCGTTTTAGAAAACGCATTTAAAAGTTATAATAATTTATAATATCTTTTGCTGTTTGTAGTATTAATTAAATTTATAGTAGTAAAAAACTAAAGTCAGAACCGTTTTTTTTACTTTTTTAAAACATCTAATGGGCAGTAATAAGCACTCTTACCAAAAAAAATTGGCGTTAAAATTTAAGTAAATATTATCGAATAGGCTAAATGAGTTTTTTTGTTTATATAACAGTTTCAAATCCAAAAATATTTTAATTACCGTTTGCTAGAAATAAATGGCCCGTTGAAGGGTTAAAATAATTATAAAATAAATTCTGCTTGTATTTTGCACATTAGCGCTCGAATTTCAATACTGAAGATGTTCCCAGTATATAAGTGTTGTAGGATACTGTAAAAATTTTTTTCATTATAAAAGTAATTATTTGTTTGTTTAAACTAAGTGAACATTAACTTTCACTTAAAAATTAAAAAAAAAAAGAATGTGCACATAATTTCTTATATGTATAAAAGTTTTTATTATAAATATTTTATGGTGAATATAAATGATTTGCTTAACAAAGACAAATTTGAATAAATAAACCATGTTATGCCCCTAATTACCTTTTTAATAATAATAACGTATGCCCTTAAATACTGAATATCGTCTGTGCGTATTGGAAAACAACGAATCAATAGAATTATGGAAATAAAATTTTCTAACTGTCATAAATATCTACTAAAGCCCAATTTTTTTCATTGATCGAGAAATTGATAGATGAAAAGAATGATAATTTGTTAATGTATATGTATTAAGTAAGTGCCTTATTGGTTCTTGGCATTTCCGGCAAAATTAAATTCCTAGTGCACTTTAGCATCCAAATAGAGTCTCGGTGCTGCCATCTAGTGTGGCAGAAACTAGACGTCCAAATTAACATGGCCAACGGTATCTCACCCATTGTGGTGGTCCTGAAAGAGTGGATACCACCTCTGGAGAACGCACTAGGTCTGCTCATCGGCAAGACCGATTGTGCATTTTATTGGAAATAAATGTATTAAGTAATTTTTATTATACAAGCTATGTATATATATATAAAGATAAGTTGAGAATAGAATGTTATGTTTTTTTCTTTTGAGGAAGAAATTTTAAGATCACCTTTTATTCATTTTATTAATATGGGGCTAAATTATTTATTCGAGTGTGTTGACATAATTTACGCAATGAATCATTTTGAAAATCTTGCTACCACTTTTTATTTATTTTTTATATTTGGGGTCACATTTAGTTCATTGTGCAAAATTAAATTCTTATAATTATGTGCTTATGCAATTTATATATATTAGCTTATGCAATTAATTATTCATTATTTTGTTAATAAATGGGAGTTGAAAGATAATTATGCGTTCTGATAATTATGTATTTATGTTTATAAATTATGGCAAAAAATAAATAAATTTGTGCCGTACTTAGGGAATTTAGGTACGCAAATACGGCAGTAAACTATATATCAGGAGAATGCAAAAATTGGCAACTATATGCTTTCTTTATATAAAAAAAGTATTATTGAATTAAGTACAATATTCAATAGTTGTTTGTAAATATGATTAATAATTTCAAGGGTAAATAAAATGCCACTATTGCTTAAAAAAGTAATTGAAAGTACAATGCAAGGGGTACTCATGACAATGTTACTTTAGCTTTCATTTAGTGCACATCACACATAAAATAAAAATAAAAACTTGTCCAGTTTTAGATATGCTAAGAAATTATTATATTAATAATAAAAATATATAACACTGAATCTATCACTTTTACAAGAAAGCAATTTAGAAATATAATATTCGTTTGAATAAATATTAGTATATCAGATTTATCACCATATTTTGTATTATTAATGCCTTAAATTTAAAATCGGCACATTTTGAGAAGATTATGAAATGTTTAATCTTCCGTAGATAAAAATTTATAATGATCCCAAAATAAATGAAATGAAGATAAATCACCCAAGCAAAATAAAGTCATATTAATTAACAATTGCACTTTCTAGTATTAATTTTAAAAAAATTATACATAAGAAAATAAAAGTCACCAAGTTCTTTACTTTTTTGTAACAATTAATGGGCCTTGGTTAACTTGCTTACCATAAAAAAATTTTGTTAAAATTTAAATAAATTTTATATAAGAAGGTGAGTTTTTTTCTTCTTATATCAATTCCAAATCCAATTACATTTTTGCTAGAAATAAATTTCCCATTGAAAATTAAAAATAATAATAAAATAAATTCAAATTGCATTTTGCACAGTACTGATTTATTATTTTCTTTTATTTCACCCAGTACGATAAACGAGTATTCAGCTGGTGAGAAACAAAGCAACATGAAAAATAGAGGCATTTATTGTATTATAAAATTAATAATAATACGCATAGACAAAATTTTATACCCAAATAGTACAATCACTTTCCAGTTGGTGAATTAGAAAATATTAATAGAAAAAAATATTACATCTTAAAAATGCTTAGATGCTTTAAAAATTTTGCTTTTTGAAATATTTCTGTTTAAGACAGCTGGCATTAAGTCACATACTTTATGTGCGTTGTTAAGACTACTATTTAGGATTATACCACAATGAAATCAGAAATTTTTTATCATCAATTAGGTCAAAATATAAATGTTTTTAAGAACGAAAAATCACGATACTATTATTAAAAAAATAAGAAAACAGAATTACTTGATATTGATTATTTATTAACTTATAGGAATGTCTCTGACCAAATATGCAACTATATACAAAAGCACCCACCATTTCAAGTATATTAAGAATTATAGAAAACAAAATTTTGAAAAACAAACATAGCAATATATATGTACTAATAAATTTATGTGTGTATAATAAAATATCGTCCAATTTGGAAAATTTTAAGAACACGTCATGGATTTAAGGCAGCTAAAGCGTAACTTATCGATCTTCGTTATCTTTTTTGATTCTATGTGCTAAGCACAACGCCAGTAGGAATCCCAGAAGCTGAATTGCAGCAATACCAATAGCAACACCAATAATGATTGTTATATTCTTCTTGATTTTATCATGCAATTGTACGAAGCACCCTTTTGTATATGCGTTAGATTCAGAACACTCGGCATTGTCCTTGCAGCAACTGTTCGGAACTTTAAAGTTCATTTTAGTGTAATCATCCGGACCTTCAACACCGCAGCATTCAAATTCATATTGCAATTCATCCCAAATTTCCACAGATCCTTCCTTCTGTTGGATCAGACTTACATACATATTCTTTTTAAGAAAATCTTGAACCTCGTCCTTGTAGTAGTACGCAGCAACTCCTCCAGCAACTTCAAGAATCATAAGGATGAATACGAGCACTGCAAAGGCTATCACCATAAAATGATTATGTCTTATAGCACCGCAACATCCAAGGAATGCTACCACAAACATAACACATCCCACAACAATACAAATGACAGGCGCTGTCAGAAATTTGCTATCCAAGAATTCTGTCATGTGCTTTTTGGTCCCAAGAACTCCAACAGCGATTAACGCAATTCCACATACCACAAATATAAAATTAATTAAGACCAGTATGAATTTGACTTTTCTCATAGTTTTAAACATTTTAGAAGATTTGAATGGAGCAAAAATACAAACGAAATTAAATTAGAGAATCCAAAATCTGAGTTCTCAAGATAACACCGAGAAAAATGCTCAGGTAAAAGAAAATCGTTTAAATTTTTAGAATGTCACGCAAACTTTTTATTTTTATACTAAGCGTTTGCTTTTCTTGTCTGCTTTTGCGTGCCTTTATATTTCATTCCAAGAAACAAAGAAAAAGATTAAGTAAAAAAAAGGGACACTTTTATAAGGGTGCAGTAAGTATAGTAAAACAACAAGAAGAAACTAGACCAAATAACTCTATGTCACTATCATAGCTGGCCACAAAGATTAGGTTGGGGATTCTGATTTAGATTGACTGTAAATGAGCACATGTGTAAAGTCTCCATTTTCGAAAATAGTTTGGATGGTTAGAGTGTTATTTCTATTTTTTTTTAAAATTTTTATTTGTGTTTTTAAAAGTGTTTGCTTTGGTTCTTGCATTGCTCAAAAGGGCTCATTTTCTATTTAAAAAAAATCGATGCTTTAGTTTACGAAGGAAATTTTATTCATTAAATTCCTTGCCAGTGACGTTTACTGAATTTTTTCTCATAAAATCTTATTTTTTAAATTTAAAAAAAAATCATACCGTACTTATGCTTGGTGTCTTATAGGTTTCGCCAAAATGTTTCTCTCCCACCTGAATGATTGATGGAGTAGGCGGAGGATCTCGATTGAAAAAGGATACCTGCTCACGTATACTCGTCAAATCTTTATGACGCCAAAGACGATAAAGGGTCTCAAATGGAAAACTGATTTACCTCGCTTTTGAGCGACATAGTTAATTCTTCCTTTAGTGGGAGACGGAATTTTTCGGAGCCGCAAGGGATTTTTAGGGAGGTAAGCTTTCTTATTCACCTCTTATTCTCTTATGAAAAGGGATAAATCAGTAAAAATTAAAGAAATTTAACTGGACAAAAGTTTAACTGAACTGGAACCCTTATGCTCTATTTATAATTCATTTATAAGACGTTAATTTTGATTAAATATGGTTTGTTCATGTATATGAGAATTTTTCTTTTATTTACTTAATATTATATATTGCATTTTTAAAGAAATATCTATTGTTTTTATAATTAGTTTTCTCTCCATTAAATTGCTCCTTATTTTGTTTGCTTTTGGGGAGATCCGCTATTTTAATTTTGAAAAAAATGTTCCAATTGAAAATTAATTTGATTCGCTTTGTCTTATTTCATAAAAGAATAAGTTTATTTCAAGAAACTTACGATTATGACGAGCATTTTCCTCTTTAAATATATGTAATTAACATTATTACTCTTTAATAAAAACAAAACTTTATTGGAAATGTCTTTTATTTTATTTGAATTTATAATCATTAGAGAATCAAATTGAATACAATTTAAATACTTTTGAAATAATTCTATAAAATATATATTTATTTCTTCCTATTATGTGCCCCTTGTTTGTTTTATTTTATTCACTTTTTTCAATTCCTACCATTAATTCACACTCTCCCTATACCTTGTTCAAAATTTCAATCGTTAATAAAATACTTTTTATTCATCGACTCAAGTTCAAATACATTTTTTTGAACTTGTAGTGGATGACACTTGATGTTAATGCAGTTTTTTCAACTATTAATTCACTAATTAAATTTAATTAATTAATTTTAGTATTATATTGGAGAAATTTTTTTAATTATTTATTAAACAAAAATAAAATGTTTCTTTGTTGACCTTTTCAGTCTAAAGGTCTGGTTTCTTAAGGCCTGGTTTCTTAGGAGAGGACGCCGTCAGCTGGAAATCAGCGCTAACCTTTGATTGGTCCATTTGTGAGTTTGATAGTATACGTCATCGAACGCTGATCTTGAACTACAATTGCCGTCCAACTCAACTGCAGTTGGATTACAACGTGACGTTAACCACAGAAGCAATGGCGGACAACATCCAACAGCACATTGAAATCAGCAAGATTTTGATTTTGACATTAAACATAGCTTCTTCATTAAACATAGCACTCTTCATTTAGCTCAGCCATAATGTGTTTTTTCTTGGACAAAGTCATTATTTGTTCTCTAAAACACTGGTCGACAATAACAAAATCAATACAAATTCAAAATAAATATTTGTTTACGTTATTAACGCATGCGCAATGAGAGATAATGTCTGCGTTGGACCAACTGCTCACGCTGAGCTAACAAAAAAGTATTTTTTCGGCGTCAGCTCTACGTCAACTTTCCGCTGACGCCCAGATAAGGCGCTAGTTCGAAGAAACCAGGCCTTGAGCTAACAAACCAGTATTTTGTTGGCTTCAGCGGGACGTTGACGTCACGCTGACGCCCAGATAAGGCGCTTGTCCTAAGAAACCAGACCTTTGACTTTAAATTTTTTTTTATATTACTAGTTTTAAATTAGTGCAGATTTGAAATCTTCCAGTATTATAACTGAAAAAGAGGAATTTAAAGGATTGAAAAGAGGAATTTAAGGACTTTTGGAATATAAAGGATTATTTAGTAAAATAAAATCTTTACTACATAATGCTATAAATATCCAACTATTACCTTTTAATCATAGTGAATTTATAAAATTTAATAGCTGTAACTCTTATTTTTGTAATACAGATAAGATGAATATATCATGCAATTAAAGACAAGATAATGGTGTTTTGATAAAATGTAAAAATCTTCCAAAACATGAATTCTGTTTAAGAGGGTGCTGAGTTTATTGGTTTAATATTTATAACATATTTTTATTCCAACTGACAAACAAATTTTTTTAAATTTAATTTAGCATTTTAAAAATTCAACAATAGTTTTAATTCGCTAATTGCACCTAAAATTTTAATTTAGGTATCATTTTGAATTCAGCTAATTGTACTTTAAGTTTTAGCCACTAATTATTATAAAAGAACAAATTACAGTTAAAATTGATTAAGAAGAAAAATATTTGAACTATTGTGGAAAAAAAAACTTTTTCTTTAAACATTGTTGGCAATATCCATAATGATTTAAATTACAAAATCATATCACCCTGGAAACCTCATAAAAAAAAACAGACTGCAAAAAAATTTCAAGGGATTTGCTGAAATATAAAAAGAAGTTGTAGCAGATTATAAAAGACGAAATGTTAACTTTTGAAATTTTAAATGTAACTTTTAGGTAAAGTATTCTATTCATAGAACAGAATAAAAATAAAATTTACAACAAAATTCAGAATAAAAAAAGAATTAAAATAATAAAAAGTAAATATTTAAGTTATCTTCAGAAATAGGAAACTATTAATCAATAAAAAGTGGCGTTTAAGAATGGAAACTCCATATTTATCTGTATTGCAACGTAGGAAGAGAGTTGCCTTTCCCCCCGAAATGGCGTGTCGCTACTTAAATTACGTATATAGGGCTTTATGTGGATTATGAGAGAAGCCAGCAGAACGGGCGGCGATTTTCCAATTCAGCGGCCTTTAACAATCCGCTCCACTATTTAGTTTTTCTTTTTCTCTTTTTTTTTAAATTAAAAAAAAAATTAAAAAACACTTCATGCTTGACTTTTTTTTTTAGTTCAAGTAACAAATTTTAAAAGAAATAAAAGCTTGCGTAATAATTGAGGCCAACTACAGCCAAGAGAAAATTCTACAAAAAAGAGAGCGAGTCGTTAAAAAACGCTGGATTGTAAATTAGCGAACGGCAGAGGTAGTTAGTATTAATAACTGCTGCCACTAATAAGCTAAAATAGTAAAATAAGCAGAGGGCCTTATGTGCCTCTCAGGCCCCACTAAGCGAAAAAATTAATAAAATTCTACTTGTAAAGAAATCACTATCAACATGAAGTATAATGGCAATTTTTAAACCATAAAACGCTGGAATATTTAAAAATAAAACTCCACCGCTATGGAAAGATTTGAGTGAAGAATTGCACAGAAACAAGACGTGCAAATAAAACAAGCATATTATTTAAAGGACACTAATTTTAAAATAATTATTGTGTAAATAACTCCGCATTCCAATAATTGTATTTATAGCTAGTATATTTCTGTAACTAACACTTTTATTTTATTTACACTTATTAATTTGATAATTATATTGTTCTTATAATTTCCAGCATTTTGAAATAACTAACTTGTACTTAGAATTAATTCTATAATAAATTTGAGCTTATGTCCCTTCTTTCTATTATCAGCTTCTATTAATATTCTTTTCACAATAACGAGAAAAATACGCACGAAATTTTTTACTCAAATTGTCTACGTGTTCAGATAATTTGAAGTATAATCACCATAGGATAGAGGGTATTATCAGTATTCTAAATAAGTAAATTACTTTGATGTAACTTCCAGATATTTTGATAAAATATCTAAAAATTTAAGCAAATATTGATGCATATATACATAAATGAATTAAAAATAAAATTTTTGCACCTATAATTTAAAAAAAAAAAGAGAGAGAGAAAAGGAAAAAAATTCCAGGAACTTTTTACTTTTGTTTTATTAGTAGATATCATTATTGTTCTTTTTTTCTTAATTTTTTTCACGAAAAGCTGACGAAAAATCAAAATTCGAAAAGAATCTTGATTTTTAGATATGCAATAATAACAAATAAGAAGCTGACAGATATGAGAATGGGCGTTTCCACGGCTTTGTCCTACACGCCACGGAAAAAAATAATAATAATAATTTTCCGAAAAAGGTTTTGTAACTATTCCTGAAATATCTTAATACCAAATCTGAATGCATAAAAATGATTTAATAAGAAACTGTTATTAATTAAAAAAATTTTTTTTGCACTCCACCATAGAATAACCCAATGTAATTTTAAAAAAATTCTATGAATTTGTATCCTTCCAAATTGCCATTTTTATTTTATTTTATTATATTTCCTTATAACAATTTATGGATAAAGAAAATTATTTTGAAAATATACATTACAACTCATTCCAGAATGTAGTATAAAACGGATATGATGATGTATTTTTAAATATCAGATTTGTACTTTCTATCTTTACAAATTGCTCTTTCTTTTTTTTAAAAAAAAATCCTATTAAAGTTTACAGATTAAAAAAAAATTTTTGGGAACATATATTTTATAATTAGTGACTGAGTGTATTGTGAAGTAGATATCATTTATAGACATTT